TGCTGCAATTACATTGTACAACCCAAAGAACCACAAGCTCTGATGCTAACATTCAGTTTCAAGCATTTATGGCAGAACACCTTAACTTTCTTTCCAATTGAGAAAACCCTCCTTAAACCTTTCTGTGTCTCAATATCTTTGCAAAATTATTTGTATCTTAGAAGATTACTGCCAGCACATCGCCAGAATCTACCTTTACCTTTTTCAACCTTTACCTTTTTACTCATCTTGACCAGTGCTTCTATTTAACAACAAATGCATTACATTAACAGGCCTCAATTTTATCTATTACTGTAGTATGTACCAAAGTCTGATATTTTTTCATACTGTTCGGGAGTTTTTTAAGATTTCAATACCTTGAATATTTCTACTCAAACCATTTGGATACTGTATGCTATACTAGAGGTTTCAGCATATATTTTGTTTGCATTCAATACATGGTTACAAAAATATTCCTCCCATTTATAAGCCCCTATAAAACACTCTTCAATTTCTTACCAATGCGATCATATCTTAGCATTACCAGCTTGTCTTCAAGTCGGAGTCTTTTTACATTAAAAGAATAACCTGTTCCTGCTTCACTGACCATTCTCACAAGTATATACCTAGAATAATAACATCAAGAACACCTTTTTATTTTCTGTCATTCATTTTTGTCTTTGTGGTGCATGCATGATTGCCTATTAACATATTTAATTTAGAATTTCCCTATTTTCCACAATATTTTTAGATTAAGATTTTTTAAAATAAGACAATTACTTGCAATGAGAAGTCCCAAAAGCAAGCCTTTATTATCTATCTCTTTTTCTGTTGTAGCCCTGTATATCCTACCAACCCTCCGTCCCACCAATACCTATAAAGAGCTACTGGGGAAACGGTGTGAGGTGTATGCAGTTTCATTATCCACCTATACTGGAATCAAGAAAGCAATTCTCTAAAGAACTGAACTGGCCACATTCTATATACTGCATTAGCTCTTAAATATAGAAGAATTAAAATGCATAACAGACATAACTAAGCATGCTGGTTTTATTTCCTACATTTCTGCTTCTACCACTACATCAACCTGAGAGATTAAAGGAAAAGCTGTGTTCACTTAATATTTACTTAAATGAACAGCTCTTTTTCAAATAATCTCAGACTACGATTTCTTAACAATTATTTTTGATACAAATGGCAATCCATTACAGAAAGAACCCAACTGCCATTAATAGCACCAGTTATTTGTACTGTACAGTTTTACAGTAGTAAATGCAATTCAAATGTTTACTTACTTTGATTTGGTTTTCTTGGCCACTGGCATTGCAGAATAAAAAAGAAAAAATATTAAAATGTTTTTAATTACCAATATACCAAATTATTTCTACATATATTTTATTTTGTTAAACCAACTAATAATCTAACCTATGAGCAATTGACAATTAAATGAACTAAAATATAACCTGACTTAAAACATACAATATGATAAAAATCAAATAACATATAAAATTTAAAAAAAATCTATTAGCTAGGCGGCAGCATAGCAGTCACTCAAAAACTAAGAATGGAAATTAATTAAAAGGCCTGGGAGAACAAAAATATCTCTACCTGGCACTAACATGCAACCAACATGGGTGTCTGTCAAGCCTCTCTACACAGGGGATTTCATAAAAGGGGTACCACCGCAGAAAAGGCTCTTCTCCTCTGTAGAGACCCACCTCATTTCCTTTGGTGAGAAGACCTGGTGAGAGGAGGGTCTCATTAAATGATCTTAGAGTCCAATACATATAGAAGGTACTCACATTCAGGTAACCTAGTATTAAGCTGTTTATGACTTTAAAGATCAAAACCAATATTTTTAATTGGATCTGAAAATGAGCTGGCAGCCAATCTAGATGGTGAAGAACTGACATGTTTGTACCAACTATCTCAGTGAGCAATCTAGCCTAGTGAGCAGTCAATTTTGAATTAACTAAAGTTTCCAGGCTGTTTTCAAAGGCATACAACACATTGAAAATCCAGCTGTGGAAGAAAAATGAGCAGCATTTAAAACCATTTAAATAATATTCAAAAAAAATGACTCACCATATTTTTAACATACTTTTCTAATGCAAATTTAAAGATTTCAGAAGATATAGTTTATTTACTTAGGTTGCATGCCATCTATTCTTGATGACTACCAATGTCACTATATAAATATATAGTATATACATTTTTTTTATCCTTTCAAGTATTTTGACTCCTGGATGCTGTCAATAATTCCTGAACAGATTCCAGAACATTCCTCTACCTGTGCCATACACTTCAGCAGAAGGGCAATGCCTTAGGTCCCTCCTCTGAAACAAGGTCATTTTATGAGACCCAGGAGGCATACTTTTTTGTGGTGGCACTTGCCTTCTGAAACAATCTTCCCCAACTTACAGTTGTCTCAAACCTTGCAAGCCTTTAGAAAGGCAGTGAAGACCTGGCTTTTTCCTCAGACATTTGGATTAGAATGAGTAGGATTCCCACCTAGTGACTTGCAATAAATGTAACTCCCTGATTATCAATAGTTAACTGTTTTCTGTTATCATTACCATTATCACATTTTGCTTTTAGCACTGTTTTTTGTATGCTGCCTAGAGTTACAGTTCTTGACATTCCAAGGTCCTGTATACTTACTAAAGCTGCTGGCAGCCGTAGCTCTGTAACATCATGACTGCTACAACCTCTCCCTCCCTATGTAACTTTGCTCAGTAGTCAATTTCTCATCTTTTTAAGAATATAATTTGTGTATCATTAAGCCATAGTTCATTAGTTGTATTTGTTAAAGCTTTCCGGATCGCAAAATTGAATCAGAGGCATTGCTTTTAATATTGGGGAAAATGCAGCACCTCTGTGCTATTCATTAAAGCTGGAATTGAGGAAATTTGCATGGGCAGGCAACGTTGCAGTTATATCACAACGTCTTTTTCCAAGACTGTGGGTGCAGTTGCATAGGGCAGCCCTTTGATGCTAGGAAAAGACGTAGCTGTTATCAAACAGACGCAAACGGATTCTGTAGAAGTCGCCCACATTTTCCAAAAGCACCCTTTCCCTCCCTGGATCCCTGTACGTTCATTAGCTTTTCTCCGCTTTTCCCATCTTCTCCCTACTTCAGTGATAAACCTTAACAGATTTATCTCAGGAATGCCGGAGAAAGCAACCTCCGTTTAGCCTACACTCTGTGCAGAAAGGACGATTAATGTATATAAAAATCTCTACTCGATTCCCAAATGATGGGATAGGTTAGTGCAGGGGTAGTCAACCTTGGCTCTTTTATGACTCGTGGACTTCAACTCCCAGAATTCCTGAGCCAGCTTAGCTGGCTCAGGAATTCTGGGAGTTGAAGTCCACGAGTCATAAAAGAGCCAAGGTTGCCTACCCCTGGGTTAGTGTAACCACAATGTAGGACCGCGAATCACTAAGCGGCCGATCCTCCAGGAACCAGGCAGACAGAAAGATTAGAAACGGGACCTTCGCCCTGCAGCCACCCCGCCAGCGCTAAAGGGAGCGTGGACCAGCCTTAATGAGAAGCGTCTTAAGCGTTTTAAGAGGCTTAATCCAAGAAGTAACCTCGGGTTCCTGAGCCGTATTCCAGGGGAACAGGGCAATGGGTTCCCACCACGGGAGACTTGGTACTGTTGCACCCGCACCACACGAAACTTCCCCAGTCAACTCACAATTGACCACCGTCAGAAACATGGCAATGACGAAAACGGCAACTAAACGGAACCGCCTAAAAGACTTCAAATAACCCCGACCGGCGAGCCGTAAACACTTCCAAATACTTCCGGAGCGTGAGCTCTTTTACTTCCGCCTCGCTAAAACCCCGCCCCCTGTAATCGGAAAGACCGGGCTTTATTGTAGAGCTCGTCCTCTTTCTCTGTGAATCGGCCGACTCCTCCCTCTCTGGTTGCTCTGGCAACAGCTGGTCTCTTTCGGAGCCTTTAGCCAGCAGAATATTCATGTTGACTTCCTGTGCTCCATCTTGGTTGCTAGATTCCAATACGAGGCTTCTGGAATAAAACACTACTAGGCAGAACAGACCAGCTCTTGGTTTGCCTGAGAAGGACCTGATAAGGAATGCAAATTCTTTTTCAATTTTTTTCCCATCATTGTCATCGGACCATGGTACCCATTTACCCATCCATGCACATGTAATAAATATGTATGCTTATCCAGATTAGGGATTACCCATTTTTTGAGATTCCTGCCACAGAGTTGCCACGGTGATTTCATGCAAATCTAAAATACTATTGGCTAGCCCAGTGATGGCGAACCTTTTAGAGACCGAGTGCCCAAACTGCAACCCAAAACCCATTTATGTATCGTCGGGTGCCAGGTGGGCATGGCCCATTGGGTGGCTGTGGCTGTGGCTGTGGTGGTAACAGCAGACTGGGTGGGACTAAAAAGTTCAATCAATCAATTCCAACTTTGTGAAATCTTTTTTTCCCGCGAGAAGTTGAAATTGATTGATTGATTGAACCTTTTTTTTTTTTGCACATAGTGGCGGAGGCCTAAAGTGAAATGGTTTTATAAAACCCAGCTGAAGGCCTAGGACTGGGGTGATGGCGTGCGTGCCCACAGAGAGGGCTCTGCGTGCCACCTGTGGCATGCGTGCCATAGGTTCGCCACCACGGGGCTAGCCTGAGGCTCAATTTGTTAGGCAAACCTTACCATTCAGTTCTATTTATATTGTCCCACAGGTGTTGAACTGAACTGAAGAAGCTTCTTGGATGAAAAGCGAAATGTTTTCAAAGAAAAAACAAAGTCCAGTTGCCTTTTGAAAAAGCACTTTTGGGACAACCATGACCTGGATGATTGAGAATCTCCTGGATGATTGAGAATCTCCATAGACATTCTATTTATATTCAAGTGACTTCTAAGTATTACAAGAGAGGAATCTACTCATTATTGAATTCTTCTTTATGGCCCGTTAGGGTCAATGCTGTGCATTGTAGGTCCTTTCTATTTTACTATTGCTTTAGTCTGCTTCATCCTTTTTTATATTTTTGTAAACAGTACCTGATTTGTCGAAGAGGTCCCTAGATATTTCCAAAGAACAAACAAATATTAATTAGTCTGTTGCACCATGTAGAGCTGCAACCTAGCAAACTTTTCAGGCGTGAACAGGAGACAGGGAAGCATATAGTTGAGATACAGAAAGGCACATCTGCATAGCAATTCATAATATGTCAACAGGATTGAAAGCTGGGAAAATACTTGTTTAAATATGATGAGGTTACCAAATTTGTTAATGAACATCTGCAAGGAAACCACAAAGGTCAGAGAGTACCAAGGACTCCACAGTTGTTCAAATAAGAATTTTTTTATATCTGTACTTTGATAGTGGAAAAACAAGTATTATAACAAATCTGAAGACGAGAACTTCAGAAACACAAATGGGAGTCTTTACACTATGAAATAAGTTAATTACCTGGATGAAAAGTGGAGTTAGAACAAGGGGTTGAAAATCAATAGTCCAAGAGCATATCTACATTTTAATACCAGATTATAACCAAAGACTATTGAATCCACTGTTTTCTTTATAACTGCTTCCAGGTGGAATCGTTTCTTTCCCACCATTATTCCCCAGCATTTGGATATCTGGAGACATACCATCCCTAATCAGTAAGTAGCTGATTGAGTAATAGCAATAGCACTTGGACCTATATATCACTTCATAATGCTTTACAACACTCTCTAAGTAGTTTACAGTGTCAGCATATTCCCCCCAACAATCTGGGTCCTCATTTTATCGACCTTGAAAGGATGGAAGGCTGAGTTAACTTTGAGCCATCAGTATCACACTCCTGGCTGTGGGCTGAGTTAGCCTGCAATACTGCATTCTAACAACTGCGTCTCCACAGCTGCTGGTAATGTAATTTATATGTCACAGCAAAAACTTCCCTAAAATGGCAGTTCTGTCATTACTAAAATATGAATCCTATTGAACATACCAGTAGGACTTTAACTGAGATTTTAGCTTTTGTTGTTCAAATGTAAATAACAACAACAACAACAATAGAGTCGGAAGGGACATTTGAGGTCTTCTAGTCCAACCCCCTGCTCAGACAGGAAACCCTATTCCATTTCAGACAAATGGCTGTCCAGTCTCTTCTTAAAAACTTCCAGTGTTGGAGCATTCACAGTTTCTGGAGTCAGGTTGTTCCACAGATTAATTGTTCTAACTGTCAGGAAATTTCTCCTTATTTCTAGGTTGCTTCTTTCTTTGGTTAGTTTCCATCCTTTGCTTCTTGTCCTGCCTTCAGGTGCTTTGGAGAATAGCTTGACTCCCTCTTCTTTTTGGCAGCCCATCATGGACCATCTTGGATCATCATATTCCATTCCAATACCAAATAGGTCACCCACACTATAAGTTTATCTAATCATTGTTGGGGTAATATGGAGACTGTGCACAATAGAAATTCATTACTAAAGCAATGCAGGCAGTCCTTGACTTACAATGGGTCAATTAATGAGTGTTTAAAGTTACACTGGTCTCAGAAAGGGTGGTTTATGGCCCATACAGTACTTTTGGCCATTGTAAAACATTGTGCTGACAGCCTCAGGTCACCTGACTGCATTTCAGAGGCACTTGGCAACTAGTTCACATTTATGATCAGTTTCAGTGTCCCATAGTCATGGGACTGCAGCTCATTTGGGAGAATAAATTCACTTAATGATCACATGCTTCAAACGTACAACTGTGTGATTTACTAAAAACCATTGTAAAAATGATTGAAAAATCAGGTCAGGTGGGTACCCCAACTTATGACAGCAACGACTTATGACTTAAAATTTCAGTCCCAAACATGGTCATAAGGTAAGGACTACCTGTAGATAGATGATGCTATCAGACGTTAGTGAGGATGTTGCTGTGCATGTTAAATGAGGTTTATAGTTGAACTTAAAGCAATCGTGCAAATTCAGCCTTTCAGTAGAGCTGTCAATGTGTATTCCATTATGCAATATCATGTAAGAGCTGACAGTTGCCACTTGACTGATGACAATGTTTAGATAAAATATTTTAGTAGGAGCTAGGATGCTTCAAGAACAGAATAGGTGCTTTATCTTGTCTCCATCCTCTTTCCTTGCTGATTAATGGATTTATCCATCTTGTAGACAGCATGACCTGTACTAGAATGTACAAAAATCTGTGTTAGCTTTGGGAAAGAAATTCTGTGTCATTAAGATTTCCTCTAGAAATTTGAGAGAGAAATCTACTGGAATATTACTGTTGTGAATTATCATCTAATGCTCAACCTATAGGCACATGCATATATATAAACTATATTAGATAAATATTATAAGCTTCTAATCACCTTTTAAGGAAAGGAAAACTTTGTTCTGCACTACAAAACCTTGTAATGAACACATAACAATGTATTAAGATTAGTATCTGACTAATAAAATAGAAGTATATAACTAAATTTTACTTGTTATATTATATCATAACATTGATTGGGGTTGGGAATGGGGGGAGGGTAAAGGAAGAGAGACAATTGCCATTTGGATTTTATATCCCAGGTGCTGAAATATCTTGGGAACCTCCCTATAACATACGCAAGGTCTATGATTTCATCAGAGCCAAGCTAAACAACTAAAAGAGGTAAAGTCTGAGTAGGTAAATCAGAGTATTTTTCATTCTGCTTGTAGATTAGATTAGATTAGATTAGATTAGATTACCTTTATGGTCATTTTTTCCTGTGGGCACAATGGCACACATTAAAAATGAAATGTAGTTGCTTCCTCTCAAAGTGTACACATACATAACACACATTTAAAACATACTATATATAACATATGTATAGACCAGGGGTAGGCAACCTTGGCTCTTTTATGACTCATGGACTTCAACTCCCAGAATTCCTGAGTCAGCATAGAATTCTGGGAGTTGAAGTCCATGAGTCATAAAAGAGCCAAGGTTGCCTACCCCTGATATAGACCTACACCCTTACAATAAGAAACATATAACTATTAATCACTGTCCATCTTGAATACATAACGGAAGGAGGAAGCTTTAGAGTTCACAAGGTTAATACTGTATGGGAAAAAGCTGTGACTGAATCTTGATGTTCTGCTTCAGATACCACAGAGCCTCCTCCCAGAAGGTAACAAGGAAAACAGGTCGTGAAGAGGAGGTATAGTGTCCCAGACAATCTCGCAGACCCTGCTCAAGCAACGCTTCTGTGCTATATCTTGGATGGGAGGGAGGGAACTGACAATGATCTTTTATTATCATTTATTATCAAGTAATAAACGCTATAGCAGGAGGCTGTTTTACAGTAAATACAATGGGATACAGTAATTATTTTCCCACACATAAAAATGTAATATAAGAATTAATAATAATGTTCCAGGTCCTTGAATGTTCTGCAGTTATCAGTGCAACAAATATGTCAGCTTGACATGCTGAATGCACGTTAATGAGGCCAAGAACAAATGCATAATAAGAGCTAGTTAATATGGTTTTATATGGCATAAAAACAAATAGATGGCAGTAAAACTAAGTTCTGGAGTAACATGACATCCTCACTCAAAGACAATTTGAGAGGATTCTTGGAGGCCCCTCTGGTTTGATTTTACATGTTGTGCCTTGTTTCTATCTGTTATATATCTTGTATCACCATTCAGGATAGTCCTTTTCAAATCTAGTTCCATTGTATAAAGAATATCAGAAAAGAAGAGGGATCATTAATGATAATGAGACAGCCCAACCACTAGACATTTTTTACTTCATTTGGAGCAAAGGCTGAAATAGGATTTAAATATTAGGATTACATTT